ATAAAAATTTAAAATGTGCTAATAATATTTAACTAATAAAATATAAAATATACTAATAAAATTTCACTATATTACACCACCTTTAAAACTCTAATAAAAAAATTTTCTATAAAATTTTGATATAACCTATACTCTTGCTTTATCTTAAATCCTAACCCTAATCCTAACATTAATCAAAATTTATTTTTTATTTTGATAAAAATTTTTTATTACACAAAATTAATAATCTTCATATAGTTAAAATAGAAGTACAATATATTGCATATGCAATAAATTATTAATTCCAAAAATTTATGTATACTTTAATAAATTTTGTTTTCATATACCGGTAAATAACTTAAAAGCTTTAGTTACTAATATAAATAGCATATTTCAATATCGGAATTTCATTTAATATATGAAATAAAACAGTAATATTAAGTGTTTGTACAGTATTTAATAAAAACTACAATATAAAATACAATATTCACTTGTAAAAAATCCAAATTATCTGTATATGCGTTGCAATTATTTATATGCGTTGTAATTATTTATTTTATTTTATTTATTTTAATTTTTTTTTTTTTGCAATGCGTCATTTATTTCGCCCAATCAGATACAATATTCACCGCGTCCAATCAGAAGTGGTGGCGAAAATTAAGGCTCCCTATATACAGAGATTACTACAGAGCTCTAACGAGTCTTATTATAACAAGCTCTAGTATAATCAATTATAAACCCTTAAATATTATATTAGTTCAGTGTAAAAGGGCGTGATAGGCATTTAAAAAAAATATTTGTAGGCCTTTCTTTCTTTATTCTTTTATGAAAGTGAAGAAGAATGCATGTTGCGCCGATGGCCAATCATAACGTGTTATTCAATTTCATGTGATCGACCAATCACGAGAAAGTTATCCTATATGCCCACATTATAAATTTATTTAGCCCAGACATTAGGATTAGATCTGGCCAATTTTCATTTGGGCTGTCCCAATTAACAATCGGGATTAAATTGTCATTTTGGGCGCAACATATATAAAAGTTTCGTTTTTTAAAACTTGAGATGTGTATTTTTCGATTATTTTTTCTGCACTCCTGAGGGGCTAGTGAAACTAAATTGTGCTGGTGATTATCTAAAATCTTGGCTATAATAGCCAATCTGATTTTGCATGATTTAGTTTCTAAAATTGATTAATAAAGTCAAAGTCACGTGGGCGTATAATTTACTAATACCTGAGGCGAATAGTATTATAGCTTTAAGGATAAGAATAAAACTAGAGTCAACGTAATCAAGCGCCACCACCACATTTCAGGCGATTATTAACACAAAAACTAGGGGCGGGTTGCATAAATAAACCATTGAATACGTATAATAATCGTACAATCGTAGCGCAATATTACCACTTAAGGTATTATAACTTACTTTTACATATCGATATAACAAATTGCATAAAACGACAATAACAAAAAAAAAAAAACCAATTGTACGTACGTACGTGCATACCGAACCTTAACAGTAGATAATCTATTTTACAAAATTTTGGGCAGCACCCTAATGATTTATTTTATTTATTTTTATTTTTTTTTATAAGAACGTCACGTCTAATATGTACAAATTGTAAAAAGGAACACAAGAGTACAAAGCACTAAAAAATATTACAAGTTTTTTTTTAAAAAAAAAAAAAAAAAAAACAAAAGCGTAAACCTAGCCAAATAGCAAAACGAATCAATCTGTCACTGTCCTTATCAAAAGGATGAAAAAACATTAAAATCATTAACCAGAGCATATGCACAAGGGGGTGAATTATACAGATTACAAGAAAAAGTTTTGAATTCGATCGCGTAGTAAGTTAAATGGAAAAACCAACTAGAAAATTAAAGGCTACAAAACATTGCGTCAAGACGGACACTCTGAAGTTCAAGAGCAAGAAAAAATTATAGATAATGATAAATGGGATAAGACATAATAGGCAAATAGAAAAAAAATTCAAACATCACTATCAAATAACGTTCGATAAAGTTGCGGATAGCTCACGTGCAACCAAGATAGTGATTTATGGCATAGCAAGATTCTTAATAACGATTGTTATAATTATTACGGTAGCCACCGCCGCCGCGTCCACCACCACCACCACGAGAACTTCGATAGCCGCCGCCGCCACCACCACCTCCATTAAAACTGTTTCCTCCAGATCGTGAAGAGGAGGAAGAGGATGAACGTTCCGAAGCACGGTCAACTAAATGTATAATAGAAACGTCAAATGTTTTAATATTAATTACATTCGAAAATAAATAAATAATATATACCCTTAATAGTTCGTCCGTCGAATTCTTGGTCATTCAAATTTTGGATCGCGTTTTCAGCTTCTTCATTACTATTAATTATTATTATAGAATTTAGCAATCTAATAAAACTCTAAAATTGGAGAATAAATATACTTACGATGAATAAGTTACGAAACCGAAACCACGGCTACGACCTTTGAAGGACAAACGAACATAATAGTAGATAAAAGGGTGGATAAAGAGGGAGGATGGGAACACAAT